TTTAAATAAAATTCCCTAAAAAATTTCTGATGCGTCTAATAAAATTTTCTATCAATTTATCTAAAAAATTATAACAGATAAAAATATAAAGTGGAGGGCACATAAAAATCAGATTTTAAAAAATTTAATTATATTCATGAAATTTGAAATCATGCAAAGGATAATTGTGTAGTTATTTTGTTAGTTTTATCAACAGTGATGATAATGATTGTGTGTTCTTTTTTACTTTAATTTAAAATTTTATCTAACAGAACACATGGAAATTCTTTAACAATCAGTCTTCTTGCAAGCAATTTCATCCTCTCCACATGTTAGTTATCAGCCTCATCTCACTTATATGTATACTTCTTGATTTTATTTGCGATAATTCTAATAATTATTAATCTATCTTATTGTCTATTGTTCTGCTATCTATCTATTATTACTGCAATTATGTAAAATATCTGAAGATGTCACAATTGTGATGCTAAAACATGTAATAATATTTATAGCTCAAAATTCACAAATGTAATTAAATGGTTTATATTTCTTATGACAAGTTTTAAATCTCACTCTTGTATGCCCTTTACTTTCTTTATATTTTTGTTTGATAAGAGTCCTTTAATATTATTAATTTAACAACAGATAAAATATTATACATATATAACTTATTGTAATATTTACAAACGACCATATTATACTATCAGTTTATAGTGTTATAAGGATACTTGGTTTGCATTGATCCTCGTTAACAACGATTATATCTGTAAAGTTTCGGGCAGTAGCACTTTTGACCATTTTTTTGACGCCAGAGCGATTTCTATATAGTGAAATAGAATTAGGTATCATCCTCGTAAGTTCTCTGCCAAAAATTCTCGTTTTCCTGTTTGGATTATCGGCATATGTAATGAGGACCTTAGGTTCATACTCCTGCTTGTAGTAGGCAGCGAATTCATCATGTTCGCATTCAAATTTGAGCTCCTCATTCGCCTCATCATCCAGATTACCTACTATCGTAGTCTCATCTTTCTCTCGTAGGCTCTCTAAAGTATGTGGCACCTGTTTTGGAGCGCCTGATTGTATCCTCTCTTTCCTTGCTGCTTTTTTTTCCTTCGCTCGTTTTTTCATCAATTCCTGACATTTTTGGTACCTCAATGCTTTGCATTTGATGTGATTGAAGTTACTGTCAGATGGAAGCAAAACTTCAGAAGCTCTATCCGTTGAAGTACCCGGTTGATCATTCTCCAATTCATTTTCCTCCCTGAGTCGACACAGAGGATTCTTTCGTAAAGTTTTCACTTTCATCTTACACAAATTTTTGTATTCTTCCTTTTCTTCCTTTGGATTTCAAAATAGAAATCAGGGACTATACGTACGCTTTTTGTATTAAATTCGTAAGCGTCGAGGGTACACCTTTGCGTTTCTAACCTATCATTTCTTTTAAAGATACCACATGTTTACTACCACGAGTTCCTGAGCACATGCAATGTCGCCAACATGAGAAATTAAACTGAATGAAAAGGAGGCGCCAGGCGCTCTTCATCAGGAGCTTACCAACAGCAGATAGAATGGACATCCTGATCTTTTTTGTGTACCAACTTTGGATTAAGCAAGGAGGAACAATAATCAACTTTAATTATATTTGTTCTTGTCTAACTGACATAATAGTATAGAAGAGAATCACAAAACAAGAACATTATCCTACGAGATTTTTCTTTCCTATTCACTCACAGGATCTCTCTGCCAACAGTAACACAGTGATTATTTCTTCTTTACTCAACATTGTTCAACAAGGATGTAAAATGATTCACTATGTTTCTTATAAATCATCTGTCTTCCTCATTCTTATTAGAAAACTTGTATAACAATAAACTAGAAATTAGATTATCAACAAAAGAACAATTTACAATCCGAATTTATATGACAAAAGGATAATAAAAAATATACAACTTTTGACCTTATTATTTACTAATTCTATTCTTTCTATGAGCATAACGCATTTGTACAAAAAGATATTTCTCTTTTTTAAGAGTATGTCACACACTATTTTTTCAAATAATTTTTTTACAAGTGACATAACAATGTATATGTTATTATATAAAATCAGAGTAAAGTTTCCTATACAATGAAACAATGCAAAAATTTCAAGATAACTGAATAACTTGAACTAACTACTTATTTCCTAATTACGTTTTATATACATATTACGCACTTTCTTTCTTATGTTAGCCATAAATCTTACGGGAGTGATTCACTTGTACACTGTTGCAATTGTCCACTGTCAATCGCTTGCGTAGTTGTTTTTTCTAACGAGGTAATAAGTGATTTCTGCGCAATCGGCTCACGTACAAGTGATGTACACTCCTTATATACCATCATTTAAACTTCAAAACTAACCACAATACAAAAAATACTGCTATAGAAAAAAGAAATAAATATAAAATATAATAATTGTGGCCTGCCTTTGCTAAACGCAAAACACGTGTTACTGAACCAGATAAGGAACCACTTGTTCTATCGAAATCATCATCCTAAAATACGAATTTATATTTGCTATGTATAAAACTATGCAAAATTATGTCTATGTCTTAAAACAAGCTGGTCAACTAACCATGCCTCTTAGCATTTTATCTTGGTATTTGACTTCTGTGCCAATATCAATAGATAATGACTTTAAAGCATGAATTTTATCCTTCAGTTCTTCAGTCATCCTCTCATTCTCGTCTTCCATAGTATTGTGAGCAGATGTACTTGGTAATGGCTCGTAGCCATAACCTCCTGAAAAAGTAAAAATTATGTATGAAATAAGAATTGATATATTTGCCAACAGATAACTTACCTGAATGGGAACGTCGCATTTTATTAGCAATCTTGATAGCTTAATAGATGAACAGATACCGAAGAAAGTTATTGTCTCACAAAAACACCTATAAAAAAGTTGAGAAATATTTTAATCTTTCTTTATCTAGAAAAACACATATTGTGAGATCTGCACAATTAAATTATTTATGCCTACATAAATATAATTCTTGTAACACAAATTATATTTACTCAATAAATAACAATAAAATTATTTAAGTAAAAATATGTTTTCACATAAGTAAATTAAAAATATTCACGTATAAATATAACCTCAAATAAACGACACGCACATATGTATTAGTCATTTTAAAAAATCTGATCGAGGCTTTTCAATATAATAACATTTTCAATTTACCAATTAAATAAAAAGTGCAGACAGCCGGAGAGAAAATTTGTCTCAGTGTCAGTATATGTCAACGTCACGATCGCAGTGACGTGTTGTATCGAAGTGAAGGGTATCGATTGATGGAAAACAAGTACTTACTAAACTAACTACTATGACCAAAAGGTTATGCTAGGTCATCAATTCTAAGGAAAAACCAACTTAAATCAAGTAGCTTTTAGTAGCTTATTAGATGATTCATTATTGTAATTTTGAGACTTAATATTAATCAATCTAATATTTCTTAACTATATATAATATAGTCAGATATGTAACATTAATATTAATCTGCAACAGTAAAATGGTTCTGCGCAGACATGGCGCGGACGATGGAATCTGCCATTTAAACATTTGCACCGCGATAGTTTGAAAAAGACAGCTCGAGAGATCAAAATGCGTGGACCGACGAGATACTATTAAAGACGCTTAGTTCTGGGCAAATTTTCGTGACTATCAATAAAGCTCCAAGAGCCCGAGAATGATTGAAGGATGAAGACATTATCGACAATTAATAAAAATTTGGCATAATCAAGATAAGTGTTTTAATAATATATTATCAAATTTGTGATTTTTTAAAATATAAATATAAAAAAATTACTCATACTTTTAATGCTATATTATATCTTATTATATGTATATTGCCAAGAAAATTACAATTTTTTCTCTGTAGTTATCATTTCTATTGGTAATCAAATTTGGATGATAACGTTAAAATAATCACAGTTTTTAATAAAAATCGAGTCATATTAAGTTTTGAACATACACAGAGTGTTCCATAACAATTAAAAAATATTTTAGGGATTGAGAGAGAATAAAACTTTTAATTGAAAGTTTATAATAATTTTAACGCTGGTCTAAAATGCGTTTTCATTTATTGTTCAACCGACAAATCCATCATTTGATTTTTGAATTGTTTGGCGAACAGTTCAAAATTTTATCCTCCTTTTAAAATGCGTTTTCATTTATTGTTCAACCAACAAATCCATCATTTGATTTTTGAATTGTTTGGCCAACAGTTCAAAATTTTATCCTCCTTTTATACTCACTGAAATATTAATTAATTGTTATGGGATACTTTATATATGTCTACGTGTCAAATAAAAACTTGTAAAAAAGATGAAACCAAAAAGTTGAATTAAAAAATATATCTCTTTTTAACTTCCCTGATATTAATTTTAAATTAGAAAGAAGTAATCAAAAAATAATATCAATATTGAAAATCGGTGAGTACAAAATTAATACATCCTTGCTTATACTTATCACAGACTCATACAATGCGAAATTTATAATTGTTAATGGAACATATGAACAAGATTATACATATTTACAATAATAACTAATTACATTTAATATATAATACTATATATGAGATTGCTACAACAAATATATCAAGTTATACCAAATCACATTTTATTTTTTTAAATTGTATTTTTCTTCTAAACGTATCTTATGAAAAATGTCTGTGTTTTTAAATAAAAAATAAAAAAATTCTACATGTTATTTGAAAATTATATTTTACATTTATTATTTTTACTTACTATATTAAATTTCATTATTTTTACACTTAAAAAAAATGAAGGACTATTCGTAATCATATCATTAATAATTTGGGATAAAATTTGAAATGGTTCTTAATACCGCAATCAATACGGTTGCAACATTCTAAGTCAGTTAGGAATTCAACAGACAAACAAGGATAGCTTTATTTTCAACGGTTGATCACCTTAAAGTATAGTATAAATATAGGACTAATTGAACTTTGCGAAATGATTAGTTGTTAATTAGGGGAACCGACTTGTTGCATGGATATTGTTCTCGATTCCGTTGTAGAGGAGGTAGTAATCGAGGCTACGCTGTTATTTGATAAAATCTTGAATGGATTGCAACTCAGCTCGCCAAATCGTATTAGTAGCATTTGCTTGATCCTCTTTGTACACACTAATATGATAAAAATGATGGCACCTTGCAAAGAATTTATTATGTCGACGGTATACCAGAAGAATGTTGGTATGTCAATTACGAAACACCACGATAATATCTCCAAAACCCAACATATTTCCATCACTATGAACAGCATGAAGTACATATTGAACCTGTGAGCAAATATATTTTTGTATTGTTTGTAATTACAGTCATAATTATTGTATCATAAACTGTAGACCTTTGTTTATTTCTGTCATGACGGTTACTCTCCAAATCTTTCAACTGATAAGCTGTACGTATTTTCTGGTATAGAATCGTCAGTGTTGTCAGGTTGAAAAAAATAATATTACTGATAACAATAACACCTACGGGTATGAAAAAATATAATATTTTTGCTTCAGATTCTGAAACAAGAAACAAAGTTTTATTGTACGATATTACATATATATTAATATAATACGTATAAATAACGTGTTCATTATCTAAATTAAAAGTTATTCAAATTTAATCAAGATAAATAAATTTTCCGCTAGTGTTATTACTAATTGCTGAATTACTTACTACTGAACCAAAATTTATCTACGCAAATTTCTGGTCGGATCAAATCTTTCGATAGTCCGGGGGCATTATCCATGACGACACAGACAACGTTAAAAATGATGGTGATTCCCCATGCATACATCGAATACAGTATAAGCTTCTTTTTATCATGCTTTGCTTTTGTTCGATGCAAACGGAGTTTTCTGTAAAATGCAATTTATGTTTAGCCAACAAATTATTATCCAATATACTCGTTCAAAAACATATTATCTCTCCCTTTCTAAAATTAACGCTTTGTAAAGCAATAATCATATACATTTATACGTAAACAGACGCATACACTCGTGTATACATATATAATAGAAATTTTTTGCAATAAAAAATTACAGATTTACAGATTTAATCGATTTATATGATTTTAATATGTTATTCAATATTATTAAGATCGATAAAGATGCGTAAAGAATATAAAGGTTGTTAAATTGTTAGACAATTTAGCTCGTGATAGTTTATAGTACTGCGGTATAGTTTGGCAGTGTTGCGTTTTAAGCTTGAAAAAAATACGGCTCTTAATTAAAAATCTATGAACGTAGTATAAAAATTCACACGCAATTATATAGAAGCACCTAGATCATAGCTTGACCGTTGCGGCATACCAGCATCGGTATTCATTGGTTTATAATACAAATGTTGTTAATGGATGTACAAGTATTTAAACTATAATCCTTAAAGACGAAAAGTTTTTTTTTTATAAAGTTTGCTATCTGAACAATTTGAAAATATTTTGTTTCAACCTACTTAAGAAATATGAAAATCATTTGAATCAATATTTTGCACCTATTAGTGAACATTATACGTAGTACTTGCGTAAACAATATTATATGAAACGAATTGCATACCTAAACGCCCACCAAAGGTCGAAGCATGTTACATTTAGCCAAAGAAAACTCGATAAAAAGAAGAAGTTGTAAATATATGCTGAAAAGATCAAACAAATAATGTGTTAATTATTAAGCATATATATTAGAATGACAATTATTTATGATTATGGAAATTATTTATATGAAATTTACATGGAAATTATTTATAATTTATTATATATAGTTATTAATTGCTATACGTATATCTTTTTTGCGAAATTTTTATGATGTCTGCTGAATTGCAAATTTGTAAAAAGAAATTATTTGTTCAAATTAAATGTTTCACTGTATAATTTCTCTATTTAAATAAAAAAATTATCTACAGAAATGTAACTCATTTTATATATACATATACATATGCTGTACCACGTACCTAATACAACGCAATAGTTTTTTTCAGCTAAATTAGGAATTCGTTCGTCGACGTACGTAATCGCGTTTGTGATGAATACTGAACTCACGTATGCACGCACCGTATAACCATGCACATTTCGGAATTCTGGCAATACGGAATATATTATGAACGTCAGCAGTAAAAACGGCGTTGACACTAGGAGGAACGTGGATTCATATGTGGCAAATTTAGTATGTTCATCAGTGCAGAAGAACGCATCATACACGTTCCGATGCAAAATGGCAAAGCAATAAGACGTTGGTGAAATTATTGTGCCATCATCTTGGTACAAAGAGCCATTGATTAGAAACAAATGTGTATTGTGATCAAGCAGACGTCGTCCAAATCCACCTTCGACGCATGGATCGCGAACAATCAAAAAAAGTTCGTCCAATGTTTCCTTGGAATTGTTCTCGTCTTTGTACATTTTTGGAAAAGTGAAATTTTTCTGTCCATGGTGGACGCATTGTCCATCTGCCGTCAAGTTATTAGCAAAAGGACAACAGAGCTGAATGCAAGTAAGATTGTCACAGCACGCTTCATACTGAACAAAGGGAATTTTAAATATTTTATTGGGATTTCTGTGGAGTTCGTACGATGTGGAATTGTTCTTGTCTTCAACTTTCGTGAAATTATCATTAATTTTTTGTAACATGGGATCATTGATCTCTGTCGAATTTATGGAGGGCTCCATGTATGTCTGATTATTCTCTTCATGATTTTTTAGTGTATGTTCACGATGGTGATCGTATTGCACCGAATTGTTCTCGCAATTACTCTTTGTAGAATTGATACAGGATTCATATTGCATTTCATCGTTATTCTTCATAGAATTCTCGTGTGAATTGCACTGTGTTAAATTTATTTCTTCGTTTTGATATTTCGTAGGACGATCTACGTAAAGGTCAAACTGCACTATCGAGTTGTCGTTTTGCTTACTGTAATTCGCAAAATTGTCTAGAAATTCTGAGGACGAAGCAGCAAGCAGAAATGCGAAACAAAGTGCGATACTTGGTTGATACATTATGGATACAAATTATTGAAACGAATTCACAAAACAACTCAGTTTTTCTTGTCTTCTCTCTAAGTAAATTTTTAGCGTAATATTGCCAATTCTGGAAAGAAGCGTAATTGCTTCATTCTGCAACACTTTTGTTTAAATAATTGATAAATGATACGGAGCCAAAGAATAATCTTTATTTAGTAAAGAAGACTTTGTAAAACAGGTGTTTGATCTCGATCAACAGCCAGACGAGAAAGAGATCACGCTAGCAGCCATTACCGCTAATCATTATAATCACGGTATGCTTGATTCTGGCAATAAAGTGCCCTTGTTCTCTCAAGAGAAGTGTAGGTATATTTAATTCATTCTCAACGAAGAAGAATACACGATTCGTCGACCACGTCTCGCGACGCAGTTGTACCGCGAAACGGTGCGGTGGGCAGCAGCCTTCAAACGAAACATTTTTTCGTACATTTGGTTACACACCATCACCAAGTTATTGCAACGCAATATATGATTGTATATTTTTTTATCGAGAACACGTAAGCAAGAAAAATTTATGTATAGTACACGTTTTTCCAACAAACGTTAAAATCAAATATGACATTTATAACAGTTATGATTGATTGATTTGAAGTTAAATATATGGTGACGGATAAGATGACAAGTACTACGTTTAATTTCACTTTCGCGGTTCACTTTCAGCAAACGATAGCGCACGAATATAGTACTAAGGCAAGTAGCAAATTAAGACTACTGAATGACTGCTGAATGAGTTGTTCCTGCCATTGATGCGGTGTTAAATAAAAGCTATTTTTCTAGAAATTTACTCATGTATGTAGTAATACTTAATAATGATGAAAGACACTATACCGATAAACAAATTTTTGAAGATAAGAGTTTAACCACTGTTTGGATAATAATGTTATCATATGGAAATATGTGGGTGGTACATGATAGAAAGCATTGTATGTATGTATTTGTATATGTGTAACATCTTTTATAATTTATATGTATCATTTTTTATATCAAAATATTTTAATGAGTCTACGAGGATCGACTGATAAGTGATAAATGCATACGTCCGTAATGTAACCTTGTTTGCGGTTACAAGGTTATTTATTTAATGTTGCACTGATGTGTGCATTATTTATCGCAGTTTCTTTTATATGATATTTTTTTTCATAATTTTTTCCCCATTATTTTACATAGAAATATATGTATTAAGTAAAACATTTGAGTTATTAAAAGAATAAAATAACTTGCTTTCTAAGGCCCCGTACCTATATAATATAATATGTTCATCGTTATCGAATTTTTATATTAAGAATGCATTAGATGCGTAATCAAATAATACAATAAATAATTGATAATTTAATGCATGTTTAGTGCATATGGACGAGTTAGTACAAAGGTGTTGTCTATACGATGTAATAGCTAATGGTTATTAGCTAATACTTATAATTCATAATTCTCAGGCTTCTCTTTGATATCAAAATCGTATATCTATAGTAACCGTTATGCAAAGAACATCGTATATTATGTCATATCTTTTGTTAATAGAATAATTTTCTACGTAACTTTTTCATTTTATTGTAGAAAAAAATTTTTAATTAACGTTTAAGCGATTATCTTGTGAAGAATTCTATTTAATCCTAATATTCGATCCAATCTTCATCAGAAATACAATTTTTTAAACATCGCGTTATATAAAAAAGTTAAAAACTATATAACTACTGCAACACACGAATTTTGTTCAATGAGTAATTTTGTAAAGCCTGATGTACAATTGAGTAGTTGTAAACGTGATCGTAGTTGTAAGAATCCTCCAATCACAGTTGAATATTCTCCTTGTATTCAACTGTAATTGATTAATTCTTATAACTACAACTACATTTATGCAATTGTAGGTCGGGCTTAATACAATTTGATGTATGAGTGTATCAAAATCTATCGAGTTTTGCCAAACAAATTGCTAATATACTATATTTCTATTTATATAATGTAGTTGATAGAGTATGTTTTAGGTGATCTCTAGTGATCTTTATATTTTTTGTTGCGACATTTATCGTTATATTGTTAATATTTTATCCTTATCAATTTATTCATATAAATATATATTTTCAAGAAAATTATTTTGTAAAAAATTTTTTTTTTCAACGATTAATTTTGTCCGCCGTTTTTTAATGTCTGAGGAGAGCTCAATCCGAAAGCCGAAACTTGTAACATATTTTTATTTATTAATACTTATTTATATTTTTATTATTATATTTAATTGTTTGAAGGCGAATTAGTTTTAAGCAATGTTTAAATTATTATTGAAATTATTGATTAATTATATATTTTATTGTTGAACAAAATCTTTTTGACTTTTATATCGCCCTGGACATCATATTATTTATTTTTATATAACGAGTCCTTATTTCTTTTCTATTAATTTGTTTTTTTTTTCTTATAAAATATATATTAAATCAATTATAGATAAAGGGTATTTGAAGAGAATCCATGTTTCAGAATATTATTAATAGTATTATATATTAAATATAAAGGCACAAACAATAAAGGAGTACTTTTCTACTTTCTATAAATTCCTACGGTATTAAGATGTTTCATACATTGTCTACATGTTTGATATACAGACAATTACACATCTCACGGCAACAGTCGCCATAGAATTACTCTCAGAGATGGAGAAACACTTACGATAAAGTTAAACTATGGATCTTTGATCTCTGTCGAACTTAAATAATTTAATTATAACTCTATTCACAACCTTATAAGAAAAACGTTCACAATGTATTTATTTTTCTTTTACGTAAATGGAACGCTATTATTCTTAATGCTCGTGTTGACGATTCGTTCGGTTAAATAAACATATATTAACGTCTCGATATGATTATATATAAAATTCTCGATATGAAAATTGTTAACAAGTTCAAAAACATAATTTTCTTGGTAAGTCTTTCAATACGTTATACAACTAGATATATACTGCTTTTATACAATTTTCACTATCTAACATCTTTATCTCAACGTAGAACAGTGATAAGTACGTTTGATGTCGCTCGCGCATGAAAACGCCGTCAATTATTGAATCGTAAAATTCTCACACTATTATAACATATACATTTATTACATATATCACTACGTAATGTTTCTCTACGCATATCGGTGTATATATCGTGTGTACATAATAATATGTATATATTATATGCACACGATATTGATTATTTGATCCCAAGGAGTAATTTGAGATTAGGCCTGAAATTTATAGATGTACTGTGAATATTGTATAATATTATAAATTTCTACCGTAAGAAATTCGGATCGACGATTGTTCTTTTTGGAATGTTCAATGCCGCAGAGTCAAAAAGAAAAGTACAAAAAAGGTTGACCAATTTTTTTTACTGTGGATTGTATCGTCATGGTTATTAATTATTTTGTACTTCCACACCCTGCCTAAGAGAAAAATTGTAATCTCCAAGGATGTGCTATACAATCAAAATCGTATAAAATTTACGAAGGATTTATGAAAGATTCGTCAAAATATCTGACAGCACCTACACTGGACTATTATTAAAGAGATTACTGCTACAAACTAAACTACAAGATTTTTCCAACATTACCCTGAATATATACAGTGTTGAGCATTGTTCTTGACTTCCTAAATGACCTAAATTATACAATACAGTTCCATCGAAAGAAATCGATTGTTAGGCAAGAGGACTTCAAATATATCGTCGTGTGTTCAGTATGATGTGTATATATAACAATATACATTATAAATATAATCATAACTTATAGAAGAATATAAAACAGACTATATAAAAGAAAAGTTATACTTAAATTAAAGTTTCAGTTATACTGTGACTGTCGTTTGCCAATTACTATACGTTTTAAATAATGCATGAAAAGAAAAATTATGATGGATGAATCTTAAGGAAACCGTATAAAGGATCTGCTATCAGAATTATTTGGAATATTTCGATGTGTTCAGAGAAACGCTGGATGAGTGAATGCGTCGCGATGGCGCCGGGCTAGCTGGAGCCGACGGAGACGGTCCAGTGGGTGTTGTCGGCTTGGAACCTCTTCTGCTTCGTCTCAGAGTAGAATATGGGCTAATGCCCCGATTAACATGCTCATGAGCATAAAGTAGCACTCCGATATCCCGGTTACCCGCCTCCAGAGCGATCTTCAGGGCCGAACTGCCATCTACGTCGACGATAGATGGGTCGCAGTCCGGGTGTGCAAGGAGCAATCTCACGATGTCGGTGTGGCCGTGTTCCGCTGCGCACATTAGCGCGGTGCTACCGTCTTCATCCTGAATATTAACTGCTGCTCCAGCATCTAGGAGTAGTTGCGTCATATCCTTACGTCCATGCGATACTGCCAACATCAGCGCAGTTTGCCCATGCTGTTTGTACACGAGAAAAAGAAAATTTTAAATGTATTTGAGAAAAAATGAGAGAATTTTCCTTATTACTTTTATAAATACAGTGAGAAAAAGTTTACTAAATTCTAATAAATATTTCTTTGAATAGTTCTAGAATACGTGCTGAATGTATATATATAAACACTTATTTACTAGATAAGAACCATTAATTTTACTCAACTATCATTTTTTACATTTAATCATCTAAATATGTACCGTAAGTAAATATTTCGCTAGAACTATTCAAAGAAATGCTTATTAAAATTTAATAAATTTTTTTCTGGGTGTGATGCTTGTATTTATTATAACGTAGCTGAGCCTACCAATTTTGCTCGGATGTTGACGTCAGCAAGCTGGAACAATCTATTCGCCACCGAGGCGTGTGTGGAGTTTCTGACTTCTGCCAGAGCAGCTAACATCACAGCCGTGTAACCAGCTACGTTCGCTTTATTAATATCGCAGACTTTCGAATCTAACAATATAGACACCACGTCGAAATTGCCATGAGAGACCGCATAGTGCATTGCTGTATTTCCACTGGTGTCAGTCATATTGACAATGTACTCTAACAGGGTACTAGAACATTCCTCGAAACGGTCCAAATAATCCTCGACATCTAACGGATTCGCGCTAGATGTGCTGGATATTTTGAACCATTCTTGCTGTATAATATTGGTAGCATTTTTAAGCTGATGAGAGATATTTCTGCTAGGTGATTTCTTGATACTGTCGTTGAGCACCTTCATGGCGGCCTGCATCTCCTTCGAGGGCTCAACCTTTTTCCTAGGCTTATCTTGGATCGGTTGAAACAAAGCTGATTCTGGTAGCTCGGACTTCTCCTCGTTATCTGTCTCCTTCTCCACGTCATGCATCTCTTCTGACGCAATCTTCTCATCCTTAGTTTTCTCGGATTGTAATTGTTGAATGCTACAAGAACAAAAAAGAATAATTTTTTAAATATCTGTCTAAAAATATTTAGCAAATACATGTAACACTTATCTTTACGAATCAATTATTATTTCTTTATACATGTTATATATATAAGGAAAGTTGCAAAATATCTATTCAATAAAATTAATACTTATAATCTGATAAGTGATGTAATAAAAAAGATTAAATTAAAAATCTTAATTAAATAAAAAAAATTTATGAAATATTATAAAAGCCATTGTTAAGATATATTAATGTTAAAATATTAAAAATTCAACACCATACTGATGAAATTAATGATAATGAGTATGATGCTGTAAATAGAAGCAAGATCAGATAGTGAAGGAGGGGAAGGGGGAAGTTACCCTTCCGTGGCCGGACAAGGCGAGATATCGGAGACTTCAAGATCGCTAAATAAACGAGAGGTGGTTTGCTGTTCCTGCTGTTGCATCGATCTGTCCAGATCGAGGATACACTTATTCGTTCACCATTGCAAAACCGCCAATACGACGTAGAACGCGCACCAATATCCGACGCTTCGACGCTTCCGTCGCGGTATTTACGATTGTCGTGCCAGGAAGAGCACTCGATGACGCATTCGACACGCGCGCAACCATGGACTCAAAAACAACAACAAACTATCTCGGCACGCTCGGCAGGCACGAAGTACGTCATACGCGGCTCTGTAATTGGCTTCGCGCAACCCTCTTCCCACCCTCTTTTGTGTGAAGCAACCCCCTTGTAACAGCGACCTTCGACCACGGAAATAACAGATGGCGTGGAATGTAGTCAAGCGGGAAGGGTGGATCGAGTTTTGAAGGGGTAAAAGCTTTGATCTACTCGTTTGCAGCGTAAAGTTTAAAACTACACAATATATTTAAACTCGGCATTATTCAAAAGAATATAATTATATGCAATTTGTAATTTTCTTCAAGTAAATATGAATACTCCATAAAGCTTTATGAAATAAAATTATTTAATAAAAAATGAACAATTTATTATTTTATTATTAAATTAAATATATTATTAAAATAATTTGACCTCCGCTAATTCATTCGTTTTCTGCAGACTAATTTAGGTACGGTTAATTTATTTTTCATAGACTGGGGATTATTTTGTAATAAAAACGTTAAATTTTTAATCCTAATAAAACCTCTATTAATTTTCCAGCATCTTTTAAAGATAAGATAAAATAAAATAAAATCCCAATGACTAACCGATTGCTACTGTCATACTGCTCCTTATTATCTGCGTCGTATCTAATCACACCGGCGGCTGGAATTTTCGTGTAAGTGTCCTGGCGTTTGTACTGTCTTCTATGATCGCTGGTGTTCAGAGGAATATGGGACGGCCTCGGGATCCTGGATATCATATTGCTGTTCTGATGATTCAGGCTGTTCTCCGCATTGTTCGCGATTTGCTTCGCCAAACTTTTGATTGTCTCCTTGCAATTGTCGCAATAATTCGCCGCGCAAGAAATCGAGATATGCGGCCTCACAGAATCACCGACCGACACGTCGACCAACGTCTTTTTCATCGTCGAGGTGCCGAAGTCTCGGCACTTTGGCGTGAGACCGGAAGTATCGGTGCCGCGAGCGACGGTTTTTACCAAGTCCTCCACCATCACCGCTACCGACTTGCTGGCTTTTGTCTTCATTCGCGTGTCACCGTAGTTGAATGAATGACTCCTCGAATTTATCCAGTTCAACGACACGGGCGGCTGCACTGGATCTGGTCCAACGCCTACGCTTCTAATGCAAGAACCGAGCTTGACTTCGATCCCGACCTCCGATGTCATCGGCTTGGCAGTTACGCTCACATGAGAGCGCATTCTGAATTGTTCCGTCACTTGGACCGCCCGATCCCGCTTCTCAGCGACTTTGGGCGTTTCTGGACTGCATTGGACGCTCCTGGAGAAAGTGTCTTTCACCAAACTGTTCTTGTAATTCCTTAGAGCATGTTCCACAAGCAATTCAGCGTCTTCCTTCGTTAGGAGATCCTTCATGCTTATTCTTGTTGTTGTGCCGCAAGAACGCTTTTTGATCTCCTTCTTTGCTTCTGGTGCGATATCTTCAATTAGGAAGTGACTGTACTCAAGACTCCTGGACTTGTTTTCAGTATTAATACCACAGTCCCGTGTTTTCTTTATGGTTTTGCGATTAATCACATTGTTTTCGTTGGGCGATATCGATTCCACTTGAAGCGGAGTTCTCGTTAATTGCTTTTTCCGTACTTCCGGCAGGATCTCCTCCAGCATCAGTTGACTGCGGGTCAAACTTGATTTCCAACTACGATGGTAGGAATCACAAAGGTTCGAGAGATTTGACGATTCGTCAGCCAATACTGCACTCTGATTCTGGATCTCGGGCACAATCTCTTCGATTCGCAAATGACTTTTCTGTAGCGATGGTTTGATTGGCGTACTTGTTATCATACCAACGTCTCTCGTTCGGACCTGTACGCGAATAATTGTTAATTCTCGATGCAAAGAATTTTAATAAATTCGAATATAATTTGGTAACACAAAATTCGTTGAAATCATTTCACATTTTAAAACATTTCAGTAAAATTGCTAAAAATTTTCTAAAATATCTGAAAATAAAAGTAAATTTTTCAGCTAACATACAGAAAAATCGTTAAGATTAATCTGAACTTCTCTAAAATTTCGTTGAAAATGAATTTTTCAGCTAAAAATCGCTGAAATTAAATTAAATTTTTTCTGAAACGCTTATTTCAAAATATAATTTCAAATAATTTTAACGAAATTGTTCCACATTATTAAAATATATTTTTGTTCGGAATTATATTTATCTCCTTTTAAACATTAATTAGCCTCAATGTAATTGCTACACAATTTTATATAAAATAACATAAATTGATTTTGAATATACATTGTTAATCGCCTTAAATATTACGAACCATTGCATACCGAGCAGATTATATTGCCGATGACATATCTGGGAAGTTTCAGAAAGAAACGCAACATAGTATTAAAAAGCGGATACATATTGTAACTAATATTTTTCTAATCTTTAATCACGACGTAGCTATTTATAAATACGTAATTATTTACGTAAAATATGTACACGCACGCAAAAGTCACTTAACTTCGACGTAAAAAAATGATACGGCAAAATAATATATCGCCATTTAAATTCCGATTTTCACTTCTAATTAAAGAAGCAATCGATGCTCATTTCAGAATATACACATAAACCGACGAGTAATTTAACGAAATATTTTAACTTAGGAAACTAGATATATGTACTTTTTGTATTTCAAATAGCATAGAAAAATTTATTTAAATTAAATCAATAATACCGATTTTCTTTAATCCTAATTTGATTAATTCCTTATTATTTATAGAATTTACATTAAAAATAAATTAATTGAGTTCATGAAATTATAATAGATAAATGAATGTTCTAAAAGTGTCTAGCGAAGTAAAGTTTAATGAAGTCGTTAATAAACTAATGTATCAATATAACAAAAAATATATTATAAATTATAACATACTTTAAAGTACAATATTTAATTAAATAATTTTAATAAAGAGAACATCTAGAATTTTAAGATCTTTTTAGATATTTTTTAGACAGAAATACTTAGATAATTAATATAAATACATATAGCTTGAAAATACAATTCTTACCGGTTGGTGCGATACCCCGACATCTCTTGTCATCACGCCACACATGGTTCCCATGTTCCTGGTAGATACGGTTTCAAAGTTCTTCAGGTTTCGTAGGGTAGTGCATTGTTCCGAAAACGACTGGCTGCGATGCCTGTGTAGGGTGTCGTTGTAGGAATTCGTTTTACTCAGCTCGTCCACTTGCCGTAGAAGATTACGCTTCTCCTCTTTCAATACCGAGACTTGCACCTGCAAGAGGAAAAGAAAGAGATTACGTGAACGGAGTTAGATAAGCCTGGCAATAGTGTAGATTTTTTTATAGAGACTGATAAAATTGCAATGCGTGAGAAAACATGACTTTTATAGTGCTGCCGAAGTAATAAAAATATTACATCAATTGAAGAAATATTAAATAAACTGTAGCAATAGAATAAATTAATATTTTACATGATTATAATTTTCTATCAGGTATCACAATAGAAAGAATAAAGAATAAAATATTCTGTGTTTTTCATATTAAACAAAATGAAATTAATATAAAATTAATTAAAAATAAAATACTAAAAATCTTTGTTTTCTTTAATCTTTTACATCAAGTTTATTATATTACAATTGGTAATAATTATTATATGAATATAAATAGAAATTTACGAAACATTTCTTTAAAAATGTGTGAAAATTTCATATTTTCGCATCGTTTGTGCTCTGAATGTGCAACGAAACGTCGTCATAATAAGAACAACGAGATCATGATAAAGCAGCGGGAATATCTTACACACTATAACGTTTCGCTAGAACGGAAGAGCTCGCCTGGGTGCAAATTACATGCCGGGCGATGAACGTTACGAAAACGTAGGTGGGAGAATAGGAAATTAGTGAGAACTCACCTGCAGCATGGGAATCGCCTTGACCTGTTCCTCCAGCTCTTTCATTCGTTCCAGAGATGCCGCCATTTGTTCTCTGATGTTCTGTAACGTAGAAAAAATATTATTATTATCTCTCTCCGTTTTTATATTTCACAAAGTTGAGCATCAACTTACTTATATTATATATATAAAATTAAAAGCTAAAGGAGAAAAGGAGTTCGATAAAGATTAATTCTTATCATAATTATTATCAAGTCTAAGATTAGTAATATGTAATTAATGATCAATTAAAACTAGAAGTGTAGTAGGAAATAATGTATAAAAATATATATATATTAAGAATCTTTTAAGACAATGGCGAGAATATTATAAAATTATCACCAAATTTTCGTCGTTCGAATTTTAATTATCCACGAAATCTTTTTATTGCAACAAATAAATCATTAGATAATGTATAATCTATCGTAATATGATGTAATAGTTACGAAAATATGATAAAATATAAATTTCATACCTGAAGCGCGCCAGTGCTAAGATTCGAATTGCCACTTCCAACGCTGGCGTTGTCGGAATCTGCCGGCTGGTCTGTCTGAGCCGCATTTTGCACCGGCGCCGTCTCATTTGTGCCATCTAGCGAAAAAAATCAGTCTTGGAAAACTATAAGTTCTCAATCATCCGCGATGCATTCTCTTGCAAAAAATATTTTATTAATTTCCGAGAAAACGTGACTGCGCTGAACGTTGAAACATCCACTTTAATCTCCCCCTTCGATCAACTCTGCCCTCCGGCTTTGTTAACCCTTTAACTAAGGAAGTTAATTTAAACTGATTTCTCCGCGAAGGGGAAAGATTTTCAAAAAAAAATATACTCGTGGAAAATAAAATCCGTCACTGATACTTAATATTCATTTAAGAATAACAAATAATAAAATGATTTTTATGCCTTTTCTTCTTTGTTAAAATTTATATATACAGTAGAATCGCACAAGAATATCTGTCAGAAATATTTAATGTAGCTATTATAATAATGACGTTAAAAGAATCATTTCTTTTAATGATCGTTGATTGTTCTTTCTGACGTATCATTACTCGACAATAGGCATGGAGAAGAACTAAATTCTTTTGCGTTACTATTCTATATCGTCATATTGTGTGTTATTATTGCATATACGTTTATTATTACGCAACATTCACAACAGGCTAAGTTCACCTGTTCTGACGAAATGTTTTTTAATCGGCACTTGAGCAATTGCGTTACAGAGCAGAACGTTATCTCGAAGAGAACAATGAAGAAACGCGACAGACGTTGTGGCAAATTCCTTTGACAATGTCGTGATATGTCTCGTGGGCTTGGTCGCCGCGGTGCAAAATTTTCAGCACGCAATCCGTGACGATGTGTCTGCACGAGATATCTACAATCTTAATTTTAATGATGTATTCTTCGGCAAAATGTCTCTTCAAACTTAATAGAGTGTTATTTTAAGATTTGAACAAAAATTGAAGATATTTGGCCGATTTATTTTTAGAAATGAAAAGTTATGGTAAACGGTAACTTCCTTCGTCTTTTGCCAAGGAAAAAATCGACTCTTAATTGAGGAGAAATTTATCATTAAAATTAAGGTCGCAAGGTTGCAGAATATCCTATATGTATATGCATCATCATTAACGTTGAAGCGTTCGAATCACGCATCACGCGCATTGCGCATGTGGATTAAGCGAAATAAAAAGGCTAAACGCCGATCTCCAGCATCGTGAAAGTTTCACAGCGGAGACGAGCATCACTGCCGCGTGCCTATCATGAGATCGCGATAAATTCGTCGCGAGGAGAAGCGAAAGAAATTAACAAGGCAAACCGTCCGGCTGTTGCGTGCCAAGAGTTACGTGTTCGCATGTCAGATGAAGTTAGCTTTTGTCATAATACCACACTGTTTTATTTAAAGACTTTCAGAAAATTAAATTTTCAACAAAACGATGGATTTATATACGACCGAATTTCTCGGGTAAAAATCCTTTATTCTGAGCGAGTAAAAGTCGCATATTTATATGACATGAATGCATTAATTATGAATTATTATGAGTTATTTATGGATACGTTAATTATGGATGCGATCGCTACGATGAAGTTTCTTCTCCAGCACTCCTAAACTATGTTTCGATCAATCGTTATGATAACCCGAGTAAGACTTTTGCGAACACTGACACTCCGATTTCGCGACGTCCCTGGCACTTCCATTCTTTGCTCGTCCGCGTTTCAGACAGATGCACTTGTCGAATACGGAAAAAGGCATTGCGCGCCGCTCGCGAATAGCGTAACATCGTGATCGGATGTCGGCATATAAAGAAAAAGAGGGAGAGAGCAACCGATCTTTGAGGTCGTTCGATTTCACGCGAGGCAAGATAACGTATTCAACTCTTTTGATAACAAATTCACCTTGTTTACTGTTAGATAAACTATCTGTTAATTGCTTGCGCCGCTGCTAGTGACGCTAATCAGTATGACGATAAACAATGGCAGTCCGGCAATTAGATTACAAAAAAAAAAGAACGTACGTAGCCAAAGTGAACTTTGATGCAATCGCTGATGTATGTACAGCGTCTTAATTCTCTATTAATCTATTCGATATTTTTCTATTTTGGTTTAATTCAAAAATTATTGCGGATATTAATCGACGAAAATCTCACAGGGAGAAATCAAAATCAAATTATAAACGAAAAATACTTTTGTCTCCAACACAAAAGATAGAGATCATTTCGAGACACCAAAGAATATTTATGATATGTATTACTATTTATTGTTTAAAATGTTATATAAATATTTTATATATATTTTATATAAAGAGTTTTATTCTTAATATTATTAAAATATAGGCTAAAAAAACATTTTATGTAATATTTATGATAAATATTTTTAATAAGTACTTTTTACTTGGATTATAATGTCTGATTAAATATTTATATATCTACAATAAATATTTCATAATATTTATAATAAATGTTTGTGATCTGTGCAATCTAAGATCGCAAAAATATTTACAAATTATTTAAGATAAATCTTTTATAAATATTTATGAGATTTCTTTTATATAATATTATATTTTTTAAATATTTTATAAATATTGTGTGCTGTCCGTTAAACTCACGATATTTTCTCTTTGCCTTCTTTATCTTCCAGAAGGGAATCTTCTTCATGATGAAATTCTTCACTCCCATTTTCGCCGTTTGTGGATTTCTTGTGGATCAATTGTACTTATCTGCGCGACTTTTTCAGAAGGAGATGCAATTGTTACAATGAAGCACTCGTTACTTCGTTAATATCCCGTCTAACTGAAGTTGCCGATTACTATTTACTGTTTACTTCACGCCGTCGCGATCGTAGACTTGGGTTCAGTTTTCAATGAAATTTCCTCTCTTCTTTATTTCGAATCCGATTAATAACATTTTTCGAGTAAATTAATTAAAATTAGCACAGCTTTTATTGTTTATAGTTGCCTTATTCTAACGTTTCAAATATATTATATTGTTGTTTTCGATATTTCAGGGACACGATTCGTTCTTCGATGTGCTCGGCGTGCATAAATAATCGTATTTTTCAATTGTAGAACAACTCGCTATCGCTTTGGGTTCAAATTATCAACATTATGTTTTCATTATCTTACAAGGTCACAGAACTATTTTAAAGAATTCGGCAATTCTTTTTTCGAAATGTGGAGTATTTTTCTCCAGCCAATCGCGAGTCAGCATTCAAACGCGCAAAAATTAGATTGGCGAGACGCGTTTTTTACGGCTAACTTCACAGCGTCGCGGATCCATTGTTCGAAAAAGGAAGTGCACTCGCGTCGAACCGCGCCACAAAATCATCGGGGGTCTGTCCGTCTTTCGCCGCACTGCCGCCGATCGCGAAATCGTTCTCGCAATCGTCGACTCGCTCACAATCTCAGCCGATTTCCTTCGATAACGGAGCCGTCGAGGAGTCCAGGAGGTTCGTCGTCGACACGACCGGTCAACTTACGAGGTTCGTATATTATTTTCGTTTATTCCCCATCTTTATCTCGGCGAATTGGGTCGCCCGGCGAACGTTAGCTCGGAGGGCGACTTGAAAGTCGTTCAGAATTTAGCGATATAATTGGCTCGACGAGGCAACGAGAGGCGATTCACATCGTGTTTCGCGGAGGTAGGCAAATTCGTTTCGTTCGTTCGCTCGTTCGTTCACATTCGGCGCCCCAATATATAACCCGGCGATAGCCCGTCGCGGCTGTTCGCCGCTTCGACGACAGTTTGCGTTTGACTACTGTGATGCCGTCGAGCCTCGGCGAGCGCACCAACTGTTCGCGTTAAAGGTGAATGGAGGAGGGGACGAAAGCCTCTCTTTCTTCGTTGGCCTCTTCTTCTTTCGATGCTCTGCCGATTTGCTAATCGCGGGAAAAAAGAGCACCAACGTCTCGCGGTATCCGGGTCTCTCTCTCTCTCTCTCTCTCTCTCTCTCTCTGCTCGTTGTCGTGAAATGTCTCGGTCGCGCAAAGATTCAATCTTCAGATTAAATATTCAATTAATCGATTTCTGTTAAATACATTTACACAATCGATCTTATGAACCCATTCGAAATATACATTACTCGCGTTCTTTTTTATAATTATTCGCGTGAGATATTTTGATACTCCCAAATTACACTTTATTTTTCATTGTTTTCTTTCATGATTTAAAAGTAATAAAAATTGATACACTATTTCACACATCCTTTAGACGGAGAGATGCAAAAAATTTTTTAAATTATAAAGTAGTTATATACTAAATATAATATAACGTATAAATGTTTATATATAATTTAGCGAATTTATAAGGCTGGGGTATTTTGAAGACCACACACAAAAAAAACGAAGGTTTAATTGCAGTAATTGGCAAATTACAGAAAAATGACGAATAAACTTTCGCGAATGAGAAATTCATTCTAATTAACAGAAAAATATGTTAAATATTAATTCAAATGTCAATGAAATATTTGAAAATATTAATAACCACTCTGTACATATTTGTATTATCAGTTGGAAACTTGATGGTTTTTATTTAAGGTGAAATTATTTTATACTAAATAAATTTTGCGCTCTTCCTCGAGAGAGCGAGAAATAATGATTTATATGTGCTCGTCGCGCTTGAAAGAAGACTTTGGGGGAAATAAGTCGAGCGATAGTTAATGGTATGTGGAAAATTGATGATCTATTCAAAAGGATTTGCATCCTACGAATCTTTACAATTTTCGTACACCCTCATGCGCATCATTAATTAATATCGCCTGCTATCATCTACTATGTATAATGTTGGAAATTAATGCTCTTTATCGTTTCTTTAATAAAGACGTACGTATTTGTATTAAAAGGGTATACGCGAAGAATTTTTACGTTTTACAAACGTAATCGTGTAATATTACAGTCGCACAATTAATCATAATTGTGCAATAACGACTAAGATTTATTGAACGTTAACTAACTGAGGTACGTAATTCCTCGAATTAAGCATACGCGTGTTGGTGACGATTAAACGACGATTGTATAACACAAAGTCACCAAACAGGCGGCGAGCAACGCCATTCACGGGCAATTAATTAGGCTATTTGTCGCAATTACTTCGACACACGTTAGATACACGCGAGATTGAATCTGAAACGATAAATGACAAACGATAAATATTGACGATTACGAAACGAAACACTTCGGGTAAGATTTGCTTATATTCGCTAATATTATTTATAACGCGCGACATTCTTTCCGATTACGCGCCGTCATCGAGTTTATGCCGGCGCGATGCTTTAGCGATTTCGCGATCTTATTTTCGTTCGTTCTCGACGCGTGCACGTGCTTCGAAAATAGTTGAACCAGTTGGGTGCGCGCGTGTTTAGCTCGGCAGGTGCAGGCGACCATATGTGACCACCTTGCCCGAGGAAGGTTGCACCGAAATGGCTAGGAACGGTGACGGTGAAGTCACGCTACTCGAAGCAAATCGGTCTGGACTACCAACCATTTTGCATGTTACACGTGAAATTCTGAAATTTAATCGCGTTAATACTCTGCCGTGGGCAGCCCGGTTATTTTAAGCACAGCGAGAGAAAATTTCGACGTCTCGTTTCTGTTTATGACACTCGCAAACACCTCGTTATTACCATTACACGCACCGTTTCGCTTTCTTAATCAGATACGACGGCGATTGGGATTTGCTCCGAAATTTACACGTTATGGAAATCACATTCCATTAATACGAGATGAAAATGCATAAGTACTCTTCTACTTCACTTTATACCAACATTCTCTTTTAATGATATTTTACAAACATATTAAAAATGTATAAATAATTATGTGGTACCCCCTTACAGAAATTCTAGAAATTATTTATTTTACATTGTTGTTATACTTTTAATATTCTGAATAAGTAATTAATAATATCAAATTTAAAAATTTATACAATGTCAATTTCGCTTTGTATGAACAGCAAATGAATTGAATGGAATAAATCCTAACACTGAGAAAAAATATCTTAATTTCAAAAAATATTTTTTAATCGTATTAAAAAGAATTATTTCTTCGAATCAATAAGAATTTCTTTGAAATTAAAAAATCTTTTTACTTCAAAATGTTACTTTCTTAAAGTAAAAAAACACATTTAAATTTTAAAGAAATTTTTATTGATCCAAGAAATAATTCTTTTGAATATACGAGCGAAGAAATTTCTGAAATTAGGATACTTTTTGCGTGATGTATTATATTTTCGTGCATCGCGCCGAATTCACGGTAATGCTTCCCGAAGGGTGTCGTACATCGCGGTCGGACAACGACGATGTAACGGCAATGTAACCGCGGGGTAATACGGTTGCACCTCGTGGAAAACGCGGTGGCGGCAACCGCCACCGGTACAACGACCGGAAGCAGGTGGTTCCAGCCACGCACCGTCGGCTTCGACGCCGCGTTCCGCAGCGCGAGCCTCGCGAACTCGTATGATACGGTATGTACCTCCTCTTTGCGTGCCCGCGCGAGGAGAAACGACCGGCAGCTATCTTCGAATCGTGATTTAATAGCACGTAAAGCCGCAAGAAACTGCCGCGACGCATTTTCACGTGGGATTTAATCGATGGGCGATGCCGGAGAGGCTTGTTTAGCGGTAGATCCGATCTCCGAGAGATGAATCGCGGCGTGGGGTGTTATTATACTTTAAGATCTGTTAATTGGTTTAGAACGCGCGTTTTTGCGGATATTAACCTTATAGCTAGCGATGTATCTCGAACGTATCTTTCCTTTCGTTGTCTAAAAGTGTAATTTATTATTCGTTTCTTTTTTTCACGGAAACAATGGACGTTATTAAAACTTTCTTTCACTTTGAAATATTTTCCGTTATCTGATCCGCGATCTTGATTGATACTTGACTAATTGTTTTTCTTTGTATATTTCATTAGAACATTTAGTTATTTAACGAGAGATAGTTAGAGAAATAATTTCATTTACCATCATACATGTATAAATATTCGCGAATCAACAATATATTTAATGGAAAGATATTTTTATATATCACTGAAATTATTGTTAAAATATTTTCATTACAAAAGTATTTATTTTTAAAGAAACAGGAAGTTTAGTTACATACATTTTACAAATGTCTTGCTAAAATTGATATAAATTTTATAGATTGGCTTTCAAATATTAAAACTAAACAGAGAAGTTTCTCCTGAATTTATTTAAATTTTTAGACATCCTCCTTTTTTGTATCTCTGATGATTGTATAATGCTAATTGCCAGAGTTGATTGGCGAAAGAAGGTACAAACCGTTTCCACTTTACAACACGTTTCCGTTGTCGGAGGGGTGCTGTCGGTCACACGATAAATCGCAAAACAAGCGTAAGAATGAGCCGACTCGTCTCGTCGGAAGAGACAAGAGAACTCTTTTCTCCAACACAGAGAGGCTCTTCTATCGTGAGAAACGGATGCGACCGTCGGCGAGCGAAACATAATCGCCCAGGTAGCAGCTTTGTTAACCGGAAAGAATGAAACGCGTGCGAAGTGGGCGAATGTTCTCGAGATTATCGGAATTTGATGATGGTAAAATAGAAAATTATAATGGTATCAACCGTCTCATTACTTAATCAATCGCGAAAACATCTGACTCAACTACAAGATAAACATTTTTCTCCCAGTGGCTTCCAAACTTTATTTTATTGCATTTATCTTGAAAGGAAAAATTTGTTCTTGTTTAACTATATATCGTATTTCGTATTTTAATATTTAGGACATCCGCGTTTTAACTATCTATACATTTGATAAAACTAGAGAGAGAGAGAGAGAGAGAGAGAGAATAAATCTTTATTATATAATATAATTATTAAATATAATTATATTTTGTTATCAATTATAGATAATTTTATTATATTATAGATTTATAATTTATTATTTATATGAATATTCGTAATATGTTCTTCGTATTACGTTTAATTAAACGAAATTTAATTAAATGTAACATAGATTTGTTGAGCATTCAATAATGTCAGTTATATCATGTTATGTATTTACGTCACTCGATTTAAATTTATTACGAGGGAATACTTTATTAATTACAAAACGAAAAAGAGTTTGGAAATCATTCCATGAACCGTTACGAGATAGTTGGCTTACCAAAACGAGATAAGACATCTTTTTAAGGCGTTTAAAAGAAATAACGGTGACCGGAGCAACACTTTTAAAACATCTGATAAAATTAAGAACCTGCGAAATAAAATGTTTGGCAGTATGACGTTTCTTCGTAATTAAAGACAAGCGGTACCTTTAAAGTAGTTATAAAATTCTCAGTTTATAATATTCTTATGAAAATTCTTTACCGCACACGATGATAAAAGTCACTCATTATAAATTTATATAATAATCTAAAAAAAAAAACTCTAGGTACGCGCGCATATCACTTTGCACACGTTTCTTCCTCAATTTAACTGATTTAACAAATTAACTGAAATTAATAAGGAATTTTAATTATTTCGCGAGAAGTCTCGATCTAAATTGCGCTTGAAACTTTTCTCAAAGGAAATATTAAAAGAGGACTGTTCTAAATTAATTCGAACATTTTAACATAAGATAAGGTAAAAGAACGTGTGTCTTTCATCTCTATTAAAAATTTCTACAAAATAATATTTCAGTGAAGAGAAAATATTCAGCAGCAAATGCATTCGCCACGTGAATTTGCATCGCAGAAGATAACGGAAGACGCTACGAACACATTGGAAAAAAAAAAGAACGTTGCACGTTCGTTACTTTGCTTTCTCGCAATTAATTATAGTCGCGTGCTTTCAATCGGCGAGGTGCTATTCAATTATCACCTCAGACGCAGAAAGCTTACGCACAAGTAATTTCTAACGCGTCGATGATTCCAAACAATACAATTTCCGCGACGATTTATTCCGTACGGGGCGTGAACTCGTGAAATCAACACTGGTGCCTATAATAAGAAGGCAATCGCATAACCAAATAATTAACGTGTTTCGATACCGTGGCGACTTCAAAGACACGGAAGAGGCCGTCCGTTTCTCTCCTCGCACCGCTTGCTCGCTATATAGCAGGTCATTGGGCCATGGAGAATCCTAAGATGGCCGCGAACGGATTTAGCGCGAAGAAATCCAATGTGCGTGAAAAATTATCAGATCTCTTTTATTTACTCCGCTCTTTCACCGCAGCCGTTAATTCATCGTGCGACTCATTGTGTTTCCTCCACGAGTGATCGCGAAAGCGCTTTTTTATTTTTATTTTTTTTTTTTCAAAGTGCGATGTTCCGACTTTTCGTTATAAATTCCGCTCGAGTAATTTTATACCGTTAATTTAAAGATCTATAACTCTTTGTCTTCCGACAGTCGGGAGACAAGGCACTTAACGCGAAATAGAACATAACGTGTTCAAGAATAGTTTCATTAGTAGTTTCTAACAACGGTTATTTCTAAAAGAACGACAAACTGCCAAATTCCTGACGCGATATTTTTTTATAGAGAGATCATAATTATAATTAGAAAATGTTTGCACAATTATTCTATAGTGATTGTTTAGTAATGTGATAAGAGAAGCAATATTTTACCGGTTTCTGTGAAAAATCGACAATCGGAGATTTTCGATGACCTGCAAGATCGCTTGAGGGTTGCTTCGAAGTCACCCACGACATCGCTGAGATCCACAACTGGCGAGGGATGCAAATCTCTCTGCTGTCTTGGCGGCGGATGATTTGATCTCGGCAGAGTAGTCAGCCCGTTCGCGGTCGTACATTCTTGCGGTATTTTCAGCAATTCAGCCTCTATGCCCGCCAGTGCCGGACTTACCTAGAATCAAAAATAAAGGAGACTATCTAACACGAGGACGCTTGTTCGCCACGTCCGATATGAATTACGTTAGTACACTTTGTCGAGTGATTTATCTTGTATCTTCACGATTTCGTCGCCTTGCGACGAGCATGTTTATCTCGTCAAAGTCGGTAAATTTTAGAGGAAACAGAGTACAAACTAGGCGCGATGGTGTAAGGTAATTTGATACAATGGTCTTAAAATTATTGTAATTTTTTTTACCGTAAACACATGAAATTAGAAATGGCGTTTAAATGCAAGTTCTATATCAAGCCATAATACGCGAAATTTTTCAATCACGATTATTATTTCCCATAAACGTATCTTACTAATATAATTACACCAAGAGAGAGTAAACTCTTTTTAATTAGACCTTACTATCGAGATATCATCAAAGCTAAATATTATATTATTCATTATAACAATAAATACCATAAATAATGTAGAAAACATCTAAAGCGTGACAAGTATTACTTATGCATTTAAAATTGAACTATACAGTAACCGCCACGGTTTTATTATACGTTAAGTGCCGTAGAATGGCGCTCTCAGTGCACGTATAATTAGAGATATTGCTAACTAATTACCAGGCCCAGAAGAACCTCCATTGACTGACACTGTCGACGACGTTCTCGCTTCTTACGTCGCTCCATGCAGGGCCTGTCCCCGGCGCTTCCGGCCGCGACGGCCTCGCAATAACGCACGAAGTCCAGATCGATATGATATCCGTAAGGGCAACAAAGGCATTTCGAACCGGAAACGTACGCCTGCGTCCCCGCTACAAGCAAAAACACTTCATCTCAGAAAACTTCGTTTGCCTTTATGTTTATCTGCGATAAGACGAGCATTTTTACTGTGGAGACAACTGGTCAAGGTTACGGCACCAAGATAACACAGATATAATTTCTGCAAGTGTTGTTTATTCGAAAAGTGCATCTTGCATTCTCAAATCTAAATTTGAAATTGAATTGATTATTTATATCTTGATTGATTTATGTACTGGACACATTGAATGAGTAGATATATGATTAATGATATTATTTTATCTAATAATCTCAAGGTTTTTTTTTTACTCAAAAGACATTTTAAATTACAATTGTAATTGGTTATTAATATTAGTCAAAAGTTTAAATTACTAATGGCGACTGATTAAATTAATTGTTACAATAATCGACAATTTGAAACTATATATTTTGTCTACACTTCGATCACAACGATTTAGGAAAGAAGTTTTCGATCTATTAGTTATCTTAATTAGAATTTAAATTTAAATCAATTAGGTGTTATTCATCTTCGTTGAATGACTCTTTAAGTATTCGAGGTTAATGACCGCAGTGCAATGTAAACCAAAATATGTTGTAACTATTGGCAACTATCCAGAGGAACACAGTAATAATAATCTCGCGAAGTTCGTTAGTCGGGTGAATATGGAGATTCTATTTAGTGTCATATATACCGCCCGCTCGTAGTACCACAACATACGTGGCAATGACTTAATGAATTCCGCCTCGACACATCTCGAAGTATTCCGCGTCACACTTTGAATTATGTGCAGTCAGGTGTCTTTGTTCTTATTTACATAATTACGGGAAATGAAAATAACTTTCGACGAAATAATAATAATAATGATAATTTTATAGTATATATGAAATAAAATTAAACGTTTTTTGTAATAAATAAAATTATATAAAAAATGATCAGCTGTAATAATGATTACTGTTATTTTTCTCATACTTTTACTCGAGCGTCATATTGCTTTCAAATGTGAAATAATACTGAGTGCATAGATCGTTGAGTCCACGCTTATGATTTCCGATTCAATTATGGCCAACGATCTCCATGCACTTTTATTAAAAGTGACTCACCGTTTCCATTGAAAACACGGGTCGAGGGAACGACAGTCAGGGCCATGATCCCGGCTGATCGTCAAACGCACTTGCAGATCCGCGTTTCCATAATCCTGAAAGTGCAAATAAAATCGTACGTTAGTCGCGTAAACGTCAGAAGAAGTGAAGAGATTCACACGTTGCAACGCGCGTTTTTTTGTGCTCGCGCATATAAGAAATGTGTAAGGAGGAAGGAATTCCGAGAACGATAGATTTTTTGAGCGAAAGTCGAAACGACTGTCTGCACGCCCTAATTGTAATTATTGCACAACCGCACGGCCGTTGTAGTTTCTCGGAATAATTACATAATTTTCTAATCGTTTCACATACCTTCGTCAAAAATCGCACAATCTAGTCAGCCGCTCCGTCTTTGTTTCTTAAGTCATTTCATTTGAAGGAAAGTTTGCAACAAGATCTTCGTTAACATAATTAGTAAGATGTAGCAATTAGCATTTAATAACGCCGGGCGCGATGCAAAAACATTCTCTTTTTGTACCGCAGGATTGCGAGTTATGAAGAGATTAATTAGTCGCGAATATCTTTTCTCTCTTTTTCGATACTTTCTATAACTCATACACGCGTAATCTCTGCAGTTAACTTGTTTAATCGTGTTACTTGTTTAACAATTTTTTTATTGAATCAGGGTTGGCATTATTTTACCCATCCCAAGAAAATCTCCTGGGGATTTTTTGGATTTTATTAGAATTGTATTAAAGACCATAATCAAACACCAAACTTTCTTTTAACCAAAATTTGTTGAAGCATTAATTTTAAACGTTAAATTATCCAAATAAAAATGTTAAAATAGTTTATAATACGTAGTATTTCTATCTTTTTCTTCACTATAGAAGTGTTTCTTATATTCGAAAAACTCATCATTAGATATAATACTTTTACAAAATTCTTTTAATTAATTTTATTTGGATAATTAAATAATGATAAATAATAATACAACGTAAACTAAATATTACGCGAAAAAATATCAAATAATCAGTTTTATTAAAAAAATGAAACCCCAATAAAACCCAGGGGACTGAGCTTCTTGGAAAAAGCTTTTTAAACAAGGGTTTTTTTCCAATCCTTTGGATTATTTAAGACTTTTGACATTCTATTATTATACGAAGTGTGAAATAAAATAGAGTTAGGCGGTACGCACTTTTTTTTTACTAATTGACAATTATTCGCGTGACTCAGAAATTTGCGACGACGCTGTCGCAATATATCATCCACGTGTTCGTACGTTGAAAGAATTATTATACGCGGATGGTGCAGAGTGCGCTTTTAGGCACCGAACGTTTGTCGCGCTTTAAACCGCAGAAAGGTATAAACCTCCTTAAACATGGTTTTCATGACGCGTCCGCGACGGGCGAGCTAATTCCGTATCCCGGATTTCTGGTCTGACGACAGTGAGTCTTCCCGCGGTTTCTCGTGCGGTCTGTCGTCCCCACGAACTTTTAATTGTTCTGTGGGCGGAAGATATTCGATGCAATATTTCCGGCGAACCGCCTGGATTTTTTTTAAACGCCGCTTTCTCGGTGTGTTACTTGCCGCTCGCTTAAAATTTCACCTTAGATTTTGCAGAATCTTCAATATGTGATTAAATATTAATATTTCTTCCGCTTTTATTGCGATCTAGGCTTTGTATTTATTTGCACATTCATTATCTTCACATCGATATCTTAAAGAGATATCTGTGTGTGAGAACATTATCTTTCGAACGATATAGAAGATGATAGACATATTTATAATAGATATATTTACCGATAAAATAAACGCATTTGCTAATTTTATCACGTATTGTATTTTATAATTAAATTGTTTCAAAATTCAGAAAAAAAAACTTTCGCTCGGCAATCTTCTTTGATTTCAAATAATGATATCACGTTGTATAAACATCATAAATTAATAATTTAACTATATGCCCATACAATAATTATGAAACATGATGTAATGTGAAATTATGCGTGGCTTTCGCTTTTTATTCAAATCATTCAAGTCTCTTACGTCGAACGGTTTTCAATTTATTATACTTGTTATAGTTTTCTCGAATCAAAGTATATTACCTCAAGTTATGAAACGTGCGATTGTACTTACTGATAAAGGAAATTCTTCGGAAATCTTTATTGAGGGTCACGTGAGCGAAACGACTACCAATCAAAACAGCTTTCCTTCGACAAACAGATTAGAGAAAGACAAAACAAATAAGTTCTCGAGTGAGTGAGAAAAATCTCCGCATCGCAGGCGAATCGAGATGAAAGCACGTTCCTCTTCGAGACAGAAAAGGCGAGCTCGAAGGGATCACTTAGAGGCGACTCACGTACAGTGTAGGGAGACCCGGCGGCGGTGTCGTCGTTGAATGGAAAGTAAAGTCAGCGACTTCGCGCGAGCTCAGAAACCATGGCCTAATTTCAGAAAAACGATGAACGCACGTACGTGTCGATAAATCGCGCGAAATTCCGCACCGGAAAGCGCGAACGCGACTTACATCGGAGTACGTCGATCCGACAGTGTTAAACTGGATCGATATACAGTGTTTCTGATAAGCCCGACCGTCTGATAACGAATTATAGTACGCCCATATGCTCGTATAGCAGGAATTGGGGCGACATATTATACGCGCGACGCCTCCGCGAGAATTAATTACTTGGTTGATTACATATATAAAGTGTCTCGAGCTTTCCTATATATTATCTGTTTCATTCAAAAATATATATTTTCTAAAATAATATAGTTTTGTCTCTGAACCGAAAAAGTGATCTTGCAGTTGTAGCGAAAATTATCTAAGTACAAAAAATTAAAATAAGTAGATAAATTTCTAGCAAGTACTATCATATTGAATATATTTTGTATCTAATCATTCAGATGATAGAGATAGAATTTAGATTTCTGCTATAAATTCTATACGCATGATACGTAATCTTTTACCAGAAAAACGACGATAATTCTGAAGCAGTAAACAATTTTTTTGCGCGTTAGAACATAACAAATAAAAGATAAATTATTTATCAAATAATCAAATCAATTTCTGGATCTTTTTATTATTTAATATGAGAAGCTATTGCGTTAATAAATATTATGTTAATAAATATTTTAATGTAGCTCAGATGTCACGTGAGATTTTCTAAAACATATGTTCAAATACATAAAGTTGGCAAGTAGCAAGAAGACGGTAGTGAATAATGATCGCGCTCGTCCTTGCAAGGCTAATGCCCTGGTACAACCACTTTCGTCTTCGATTATCTATTAATGTCTCCAGAAAATTATCTTACGACATCGACATATAAAAAACGCCCATGAATATTGTAATGATATTCAAAGCTCTTACACACGTGTCTCGTTATAATTTGCTTGCAAAATGGAAAATATGTATTTGTGCATTAAAGTGACTTTCAATTTCACCGATAATGCTGCAAGAAGCGGATATTACGTTGTATATCATGAGCTCGATCAAGTCGAGAATTTCAATTATAATATAATAATTATATATAGCTCAACTTTACATTCTTGTTAACTCTTTGTATGAATGAATGATGCAATTATATATAAAATTACGCATTTTATTGCGATGAATATAATCGTGTGTTTAAGTATCAGTTTATTATCTATTCTCACGGTGATCATATGTCTTTTACTTTAGGTAGTTGCCTTTTAAATTTATTTGTTTCTTCAAAACTTAACTTTGTCCTTTATTTTTCAATATTATCTTTTACCGTTCTTTATTATATACAATTTGTTTTTTAATTATATTTCTTATTTTTTTAAATTAAATTTATTCAAACTAGAGTTGTTTTTATTTTTTATTATTTCAAACCTCTTATTATTTTTGATCAAGAATTTGTTTCGGTTAAACCAGTTTCAAACTATCAGAAAACTACACATTATCTTAATTTGATTATAATGTACAATAAAATTTTATAATGCACAGATTTTTAAGAGTTAAAAACTGGTTTGAAAATACATGTTATAGGAACTATAATTTTCTGATTAGTCTTTTATTTTCTTTAAGAAAATATGGCCACCGTACCTCTATTCCATAAGATTTGAAAAATGCCATATTAAAAAGTCTGAAACTTTCGAGAAGTTGATTGAGAAATTTTGATTTCATTCAATTACAACGAAACTTCCATATAAGTAGACAAATGATAAGAACGAGATCGAAGCCTGATTCATCGCCAAGTAGATCTCATACCACCGTAAACGTCGTCATCACTTTCCGGCGAAAGCAAGCTCCGTTTACTTCTTTATAAGACCGTACCATAAAAATCCTCGTCACTTGTCACCTATCGGGAGACCGAAGAAGAACGCTCGCGAGCGCGCCCGAGAGTATCAAACGCGCGTACACTAACTTTCATTTTCACGGTATCTGCCAAAAGCGATTGAAGCGAACAATCGTTCGCCAAGTGAAACGCTGGATTCCATTAACGGAGCGCATAAATAGTCGCCGAGTACGCGCGGTGCAATAAAGCGGAACAATCCCGCGCGGGAAAATCCCGCTTATCTCGCCGACAAAGGGAAAGAGTTGTTTGCACGGCGACGAAACATTTCTCTCGTGTCGGATCAGATAAGACTGCAATGTCGCGCGCCGTGCGCGCACGATGCACACGGAAAGGAACACCGCGACGTGTCGTATTGTCGTCTCTTTGGCCTTTTGGCCCGCGATTATGGACACAATGGCTCGTAAACAATAGAGAAATCGTGCAGGAGACCGGCCATTCGCATATTGCGATCCACCCTTCCATCGTATACGAGCGCGATATTATGATACATTCAGCTGCATTATGAATTATTGTCTCGGCTACCGCGTGTAACGGATGCAATCGTTTGCATCTGTTTGATACAACGTGCTCGTCTCTCTCTGATCTTCATAGATAATATTGAACTTGGCGTGAATTATTATTAGATTTCTTGGAAAGTGTTTAGCCAAATATTTCCGTTGCAATCACGTTTAAAATGGTATCAATTATTCATTATTTTATATATTTTATTATTATTATGATACGATTGCTGTTCAAATATTAAAATAAA